AAGGGCGCAGGAAGCTCAGTGGACGCGCGCGAGTCAGCAGACCTCCCGGCAACACCTTAGGAAAGTACAAGTATAATTGCAAGAACAAATCCAGAGACTAGAAGCGCAGGACACGCATCATCCCCAACCGCATCCCATCTACGTGGAACCATCGACGATTGTGACTGCGAAGAAGACGCCCATACCGACATCTCGACACGATGTCCGTCATCCTAGCCATTTCCAACCCGCCCCGGCTCAAGTCGGCCCATGGCTCCTCGTCCACGTCCACGTCCACGTCTGGATCGACACGCCAAAAGAAACCCCGCACCGTACCCTTCGCGGTGTCCCTCGCCACGCACAACCTCGCCGCACTCAACGGGGCACCAGCCCACGAACAGGTCAAGGAGCGCGTGCGCGCGAAGGCGCCGTCCCCTGCTGGATCGGCCCTCAGCCTGGGCCTAGGCGTACTTGTCACGGAGCCGGAGCCCCTTTTTGGCCGTGTGAGCCAGTCCACGACGGACCTGCGAAGCTCGGTGTCGTCCTCCGCGAAGAGCGTGTGGTTCACGCCATCGCGCTCGCGCTCACGCGGGGGGCTGAAGAAGCTCTTTTCGTTTGGGTCCAAATCCAGTTCGGGCTCGAAATCGAACATGGGGAACTTGAATAACAGCCCGAGCGCCGCGCCGAGTAAAGCTAAGAGAGTGAGCTTCCTCCCCCCGGTACCGCCTGTGCCGCCGCTTCCCACTTCGCGCGTTTCTCGTCTTCGTTCTAGCTCTCTGTTTCCTTCTCACCCTGGCGCCTCGTTCTCCTCCGACGACGCTTACTCCACTCAGCCCACCCGCCGACACACACGCGTGCGCGTCTCCTCGTCTCCCTCCTCCTCCCCACCCTCCACACTCTGGTTCCCCCGCCTGACACGCGCTCTGCCGACCCCGCTTAGCGTCGACGACGCTGAGATCGAGGAAGACGAAGCTAATACCGAGGAGGACGATGCTGACGTCGAGGAGGACGACGCTGATGCCGACCCCGGAGAACTCGACCTGGGGTTCAAGCATGTTGAGGAGGCGAGGGAGTCCGAGCTTGCGTGGGCACCTGCACCCCAGCTCCAGCCCCTGTCGCCGAGCGTGGCGATGGTGTGGAGGGCGGCTTGGGGCCCGGAGGTCGTGGAGGAGTCAGATTCGGATGTGGACCCTGGTAATGTGAGGCCTGAGCGCAGGAGGGGGTTTGATGGGGGTGGAGGAGGAAAAAAAGTCTTGTGCAAGGCTGGGTGGGAGGTGATGTTAAGCCGTTGAGCTGGGTAAGTATTTTTAATTTTTTGGCTCGGGGGTGCAGAATTGCTAATTTTTACTTGTTCTTTTGGTTTCAGTTTTTTTGATCGTGTAATTCTTATCGTATATTCTTGTAATTTTCTTATTTGGATATGCCACCTAAATTCAAGACCTACTCACTGTGGAGCGAGCCTATCAAAGGATCCATATGAAGTTCGTCTTTTGGCCAATGTCCTCTTCTGGCAGGCGTACCTACTCCGATTCTTTGGCATATTTGCAAGGCCGTTCTTAATTGAGACTCGTCGAGAGGAATATCAAACGAAGCCTTGTCTTCATCAATCATCGGTGATTATAAAATAAATAAAGAGTTGTGGTACCGGTACCATGCCATGGATGTACCAAAACCAAAAATCGTCATCCATATATATCATCTCTTCCATCCATACGCACGTACACTACTCAGACTCTTTAACGTGTTGTTCCTGTTAGCACTGTCGCAATTGTTTTGTCCCGCTTCGGCGGACCGGCGGGACGTCGACCCGCCCTCCGTTGTAACCAGACACTTGCCATACCTTGTCACTCATCACTCTCCCTCCTCACTCCCTGATTCTCTCACTGTGTCCAACTGCTGCCACTACCACGACCCCCCTCCGTCCGGGGCTCCATCTCGCGTGCACGTTGCCTACTGGGTGCTCGCTCGTGGCACTCAAGTTATAGCGGACGATTTGCGGCAGCACAGGCTGCTCTATATTTCAAAGGATATAGATGGCTTATCATTCGCTACTGCTTTCAGTTTTTGGCTCATTCGCTCGACGAACCCAGCGTGAATCAAAGTTGTTTAAATTTCTCTGGTCCTCTTTCCCGTAATGATCCCCATTTGTCAACACGATGTCAAAGCCTGAAGGCCTGACAAAGCCCGCGGCGATCATTAGGCTGGATCCATATCTCTGCTAAATAGTCTCCCCCACCCCGGCGAGCAGCTATGATATCTCCTGAGCAGAAGCCAGGTATGAAGATGGCGGTGACTTGTATGGTGGAGTCGCGTTTGTGTCGAATTTATCAACACCACGATCGAGTTTCAACAGTACAAGACGCAGGCAAAAGACTAGGACAGTTGGACATGGACAGCTGGGGGCCGTTCCGCGATCAGGCTATCACACAACGTCAGTATTTGAATTCACATTTGCGTGGGCATAACATTACTTAACGCAACGGGCACGAGTACAGCCACCGGCATAGGCACAATTACGGCGACACTTCGACGTTTGCATGATGCATCTGTATCACAGATGTTCACGCACACAGTGTCATAGACATAAAACCCACCCCCCATCTGCAGACCTCGCTCGTCCTTCTCGCAGAGCGCATCCACGCCCGACTTGCGCTCGCCGTTCCAAGCGATTGCATTTCCGTCACTTAGCGATAAGGAACCGGTAGACCCGCAGGAGTCAGCAGACTTCGGGCACCGCCTCAGAGAAGTACAAGCACAAGATCAAGTACAAGAACAGAGTCAGAGACTCTGACTAGACGCTCAGTACACTTATCCCCACCCACCAACGACACCCCCACGATTCTAACAACCTAGTCGAGGACACATCGATACCGGCATAGACGCCGACACCATGTCCGTCATCGCAGCCATCTCCAACCCGCCCCTGCCCAAGTCGTCTCACGAGCGCTCATCCTCGTCTTCATCCACGTCCACATCCGCCTCTGTATCGAAACGCAAAAAGAGAGATCCCTTTGCGCTCGCGCTTGCCATGCAGAACGTCACTTCGCTCAACGAGTCACATGTCCACGAGAAGGAGGCCCAGGCACGGCCGTCCCCCGTGAGCCCTGCCTTCAGCCCGGGACTGGATGTCCTTGCCGAGGAGCCTAAATCCATCTTCGGCCACGCCAGACGTTCGTCGTCGTCGTCGTCTGTTCGCAGCAGACTGAGCATGAAATCGTCGACAATGCCGACGTCCCCTGATGTGGCAGACTTGTCGCCGTCGTCCTCGGCGAAGAGCGTGCGCTCTACGGGCTCGAGCGGTGGGTTGAAAAAGCTCTTCTCATTTGGCTCCCGCTCGAAATCGAACTCGAACTTGGAGGATCTCTGTACAAGCCCCACCAGCCCTTCGAGCATGACTCACGTTCAAGTCCAGAATGTGCTCTCTCTATCCCCGACATCCGTACCAGCACCGCCTCTTCCCCCTTCTCCTATTTTTTCTAGCTCTCCTTCCCCTGCATCCTCCGCGTTCTCTTCTTCCTCCTACTCTTACTCCATGCCCACCCCCAACCACACATACACGCGCACTGAAGAGGACACTGCTGAAGCCGAAGAGGTCGATCTGGGGCTCAAGCCCGTTGAGCGGGAGGCGGAGCTCGTGTATACGCTGTGGGGACTCGCACCCCCACCTGAGCATGTGGCTGTGCCGAGAATAGAGGTGGGGCAGGACTTGTACTCGGGTATGCACCCGGCGATTGTGCGCCCTGAGCAGAAGAGTGGTCTCAAGAGGAGGAAGACGAACCTCGTGCAGGTGTGATAATTGATGACTGATGACTGTCGAGTGAGTGGTTTATTATTTATTTTCGGAGAGTTCTTGGTTGCTGACTTGGTGGGCTGTTTTGTTGTAGGGACCTTTCATGGCTAGTTTTTATTTAATGATTTACTTATTGTGGTATGATAGCTCACACGTTTCATTTTATTCGTGTGCTCTTTCTTTCTCGCCTTTTGCCTACTTCTCCCCGTGCTATCATACTATGCAGGCCTCAATTCTCCTTTGCGTCGGACTCATGACTCGACTCGATCGACTACAATGTCTGGTTTATGCTGTCTACACCCCCATGCACGCCTTTCTTTTCCCCTTGATTCATGCTATATATATATTGCATCTGTGTTTTATTGAAGCTAACTTGGCCGCCTCGATCCTCACGCACTACATCTCCCCTCTGTAACTACCTTTGTCGCCGCTACCGCCCAACCACTACTATGACCTATCGCCGCCTGCCCCGCCCGGATCCATCACACGCGGCGGCGGCACGCTCAAAAAAAAGTTCACCCCCACGTCCACAACTACGTCCATCCACAAAAAAATGTGCATCGTACATACCGCACCCTTCGCTGATTGCCCGCGCCTAAACCAGCATTTGCACTTCATATCATCCACTACGCACCATAGACCCTGCACCCTGTACCATATACGCACAAACCAAACCAAAATCTCACACAACGCTTACCTTTTGTATCCCTGGCCGCCTGCATATACATGTATCCACGCACCCCGCCGACGCTCGCTTGCATCTCTCTCTTTTATTTATGCCCGATCCTCTTTGGGTACCCTTCTACTGCCGCTGTCGTTTTTGTGTCCTACCTCGGTCGATGCGGACTCGCCCTCACCTCAGGCACTCTCGTTACCAATCGTTATAATATCCCGTCCGTTTTCCATCATCTCCCTCATCTCTATCTCTTATTGCCCAGTGCGACTACCCCCACCGTCTCGGCTCTCGGATCCATATCGTGTGTGTGGGTGCTCGGTGGTTGATCTTTAATCTTGGTTGGGACAAGGGCACGGCCATCATATCGGAGGACAACTTCGACCACACTGAATTGTGTATGAAAAAAGGAAGGAAGGAAATGAAGTTCTTATATAGTATGTATTGGTATTGCATGGTATAGCTGAATATAAAATGCCTGGGCTTGCTAGTTACTTTTGCTCGTTCGATGGGATGCGGGTGCACTGCCAGGCTATATGGTGTGAGAGGAGCTAAAAGTGAGTCGACCCAGGTTCGAACTGAGGACCTTCTGTGCACCGCTACGTCGAGTCATGGTCATGTTAGACAGATGCGATAACCAACTACGCCATCGACCCCTTATGATGTCCATCCTGTGGCGCTCTTTTCAAAGGTTGGCAAGTTTAACGTGATGGTGGTAGCTTGAAACCCACCTCGTAGGCCCCGGGAAGCTGCCATATATGTTTGTCCGGGAAATGTCCTGGATCTGGCCTAAAATCCGGTGAACTATTAACCTAATATCCGGTATTTCAGGACAGGGATCTCAAAAAAATCTGAGCACATGACTCGAAAAGCGAAAAAATTTGGTGCTGATGGGTCATGATCCTCCTTCGAAAATAGACTAAAATAGGTAAAAATGTCCTCAAATGTTGGTGCCGTCGGTAGGCATCGGTCATTGAGCGTTGGTAACATTCTGAGCAGCTACTGCACATGAAAAATGTTTCATTCGGGCCTCAAATCCGGTATTTCTAGGACAAGGATTACGAAAAATTGCCGCCCGGGGGCCCCAAAATGCCCCCAAATCCGCTATTTTCGGACAGGGATTTTGCCATTTTTGGGGTCTAAAATCCGGTATTTCCGGACAAACATATAGGGGAGCTTCCCGGGGCCTCACCTCGTAAGGCCTGCGCACGATCGCCTGAGCCATCTTTCATCCTCGGGCTTGCTTTCATGACCTGAATTTGAGCTGCAGTTGAGTACCAGAACAGAACGTAAAATTGGTACTGAAGGCTAATTACCAAGCTTTCACTTCACATAAACAGATCAGAGCTTTGAGCATACCTCATTTGTGACATTTTTTACGAGTCCCAAGCATAAGCCCCCAATCTGAATTTATATCCCCCCTATTCTTCATAGGCAAAATAATCTAAATGCTGCGGTGGCGCAAAATTAATTATCCATAGCTATACCTGCGCACACAACATCACTTGGACGTGGCTCTCAGCACCTGGCAGGCTTTCGGCTATTAATCTTAGCTTCCTTCAAATTGTACTACTGCCTCAAGTTTATTTTTTGGAGGTCAACAGGCGTAAAGAAGAAATATATAAAAATGAGTCGACCCAGGCTCGAACTGAGGACCTCCTGTGCGCCAATATCACCGATCTTGGGACATGTGAGACAGATGCGATAACCAACTACGCCATCGACCCGTTACGGCCTCCGCTGCCGTGTCGCGTCCCGAGCCGCCGGCTTCTTCGGGATATGCAAAGAGGTAAAAATGAGTCGACCCAGGTTCGAACTGAGGACCTTCTGTGCACATTTTGCAGATACGAGATCAAGATGTTAGACAGATGCGATAACCAGCTACGCCATCGACCCATGTGCGCCGCACCCCCGAGCCAACCAAACATGTCTAACTCATTTTCTCCCACAAAAAAATCCTTCCATTGGGAAAGCTCCCTAGGGTTTCTATAAAAAACCATGAAATGGTAGTTTTTCATTCGAGGGCTTACCCAACCGTCTGGTATACTAAGGCCTGATGCATGTGTGTCAGTGGCACTGGATTTGTGGCGCATGACAAGCACTGACTACTGTCACCGACTGGGACTTGGTGTGTTTCTCACCATTAATTCATTGATGGATATCTGGTGGTATGTAAGTAGGATCGAGCTTATACTGAACAGGACTTCGCCGAGCCCTTCGGATTCTCACAGTGCAAATCCCGCCGGTGTTACTATGGCGCTCACTACACTACATATCCTTAATTTTGCTGCAGGAATTGTACGGGGACTGGGTAGTTAATTTAGCTACGATGGACCTGGGATATTTATTGATGTACGTCCAATGCCCGTCGCCGCCGTAAGATGCCAATTCACTGACACCCAAGGCCGGCAGTCATTATAATTTCTTTGGATTTATGTTTTTCCAGTAGGCGTTGAACTTGGTTAGCAACCATCGCAATCGCCGAGAGCTCTTCAGGTTCAAGAAATTTTGATCTTTGAAATCTCTGGAGTCCCTGCGTCCCTGGAAGCCCGACATAAAATTTGACAGCTGTGATATTTCGCGTGATACCGGTGGGAACTCTAGGCTCCTTGTCAGCTGCTCATAGGCACTCTCCCTGACTAGCCTGCTGTCGCTTGGTAGGGCAGGGCCCTTGCGCGTCGAGAATTTGTTGCGACACCCTGCAATGGAACTAGCCAGTCGGCGCTGTGTTCTTCTAGTAGAGCGCTGAGGACTTAATCCTAAGACCGCAGCCTTGCCGTTTTTTGTTGTTGTTGTTGAAGCGAGAGGAGTCGTTACTTACTTAGAGTTCCCTCTTGGGATAGTACTATCATCGATTTCATATTCCCCCTGCTTAATCTCAGATGTGTAATGCATTATGTTGTTTTTTTCTCTTCTTAAAAAATCTAAATGTCATCTCAGAGGCTTTACTCCGAAGCTTTGACGGCCCCGACTCTTGTAATGACCACCAAAAGTCAGGTTCGCTCTGCCTCATGTCCGTGCCGGCGTGCTACATACATTTTTAGCCCTCAGGATTGTCATCGGCTAGACTGTATTTTCTGAAGCGCACCACTGGGTATGCTTTACCATTTTTATGATGAAGGCCGGGGTGCAGGTTGGGGAAGACGATGATCACTTGTTCACTCTACGCCCGCAGCTGCATTGGCGAAAAAAACAGACGGCAGTGGGAACTTTCGGATTTACCTCAGGATTCTACGAGACCTGACATCGAGGCTTTCAGACTCTCAGAGAGTCCATTGTCAAGATGACAGTGAAGCCCAGCTGCCCCTTAAACTTCAAATCATCGTGAGAGGCTCCAGCCGTGTGCAGAGAAGATAAGGGAAGATTGTATAGATCGATGAGTACTTGGACAAATGAACCCCGCTTGCGGGGATTCATTCAACAACGAGCATACTACGTACATGGTATCTACATGAGTAAAATACTTATACAAGTTATTATATATGTCCATTCCTAGTTACAAAGAAGAGAAAAAAGAATAATTATAAACAAAAGAGTCCCATATTCAACTCGATTTCCCAAAACGCCCGTGTATCCATCCCGAAATCTCATTTGCGGTTTCAGCACTGACTGAAACCTTCCAGAAACCACTATTAAACACAGAAAACCCTCCCACACATGACGCAACAAAGAGCACCCAGAAAAAGGCCTGATGCTTGAACATGGCATACGAAAGGAGTAGTAGGAAGTTGAGGAGCATGACGGAACCTATCAGCTGCAGCCTTTCACAGTATTGGACATAGCGGTAGAAGGAGATGATTTGCTTGTCGCGGCAACCAGCTTCGACTGTGGCAGGAGATTCAAAATTTGCAGCGGCACGAAAACAAAGGCTAGAAGCGCGGCCGGCCACTACAATAATGCCGATTTGGATGCCAGTCGCAATGAGGCCTAGGAGCTGGCCACAGTCGTAGTGTATGAGCTCGGCAGTGGTGGGCGAACCATTTTGCGGGATGATAACACTATACGCGAGGCTGAGGAACGCTATGTTAAGAGCTGCGGTAAACGTGGACTGTCACGGGCAGTGTTAGACTTTAGCATATGATAGAAATCCGATGAACATACGATGACAACGAAGTTATTGAATTGCGCACTCAGCGCTTCGTACTCTTTATCCTGATGCATGCGGTCCTCTGCCCTGGGGCCCACAGCGATCTTGTTGGCTTGGTGATCCGCAGAAGGGTGTTCATTATGCACAGGTGGGGGTAGTATGGCATCCATTGCAGTAGAACTATCTGTATCTGAGGACGTCTGGGCGCGCGTAGCCGGGGGGTTGATGTCTTCGCTGGACGAAGATAGAGAAGGTTTTGGTGGAGTAGGCTGGGGCATTACAGAAGAAGCTGGGGTCACAGAAGCCTGGAGGTTGACACTTCCCATCCAATGGATTTGGTTTGATGTCTATTGCCACAATTTGACATCTATATATTCAAATACCCTCGTGGAGGCCCCGAGGCTGGTCTCGGTGCTAGCAAGGACTCAGTTTCGAGGAGATTCGCAGATTCGCGGTGCCCTCGGGCGTTCATCAACTCCCTCGCAGCGGCACTGTGAGTCTATTAAAACATGCGTAAGTTGATCGCCGCAATGCGTCATTGCCTTTGTGGACGTGTGATGTAGACCCGATGCAATAGAATGAGTGAAATTTTATATGTGTAGAGATAGCTGCGTGCTTCCCATGAAGGAAAAAAAACACAGTTGTATTCCGTAGATGAATGAGCCCAAGAAAGTCGTGAATAGAAAGTTGGCTGGAAATTATTAGACGATCAATATTTCCCCATACATCCTAGAGCTTATGGCAATACTGGTGATTAGTGGCCAACGTGCACCGCAATCCGCAATAAAGATCGAAAGTTGGTTTTTTTGTGCACTCATAATGAAACGGATTCTTTTGATAGTGAGAAAGGCGAGGAGATTGTTTCAGGCGGGCCATGGAGTGCACGCCGAGTGGATGGGAGCTCAGTTAGAATCATTTAGCCTACTTGGTGGTGGCGCGATGAGTCGCGTGGGTTCGAATTCTTGTTCAAAAGATATAGCTGAAGAGCTCTCCGAGAGTAGCACTCGATGCACGAGACGCGGGGCAACTACTTCAGACGGCGCATGCTGCAAGTGGATGGGAGAAAGCGCAAATTCGAGAGATAGCTAACATGAAAGGGTCAAATTAAGTTATTGCCCGCAAGGATGTCGCAAGGATGACAAAGGACCAAATGCAAGGAAAGTCGATCGCGGTGGAGTCTCCTGCGAAAAGTTGGCGAGAGATTTGTCCCTGGTTTCATTTTTCGGTACGCACTATGAATTAACATACCCCACCGATTTAATCAGAGGACGGCGTGTTCTGGTGCGCGCGATAGGCGAACTTCAAGTTTTGGTGCCAGAAGTCGACGACCGTTGGGCAATGATCGGTCCCGGTGTGCAGCCGGAGGTAGCCGTTATATGCACGTGGTTATGGCAGTGGCATGGTCTGTGCCTGGGCACCGCCACTCCCGGTTCTCGATGACAACCGCCTTGATTTTAATTGAATGAGTTTTACGAGGTTTTACGACGACTATACTACCAAATGGTATTCAGACTGGATCTACGATATTGGTGCTAATCCTCTATGGTGAATTCTTCTGGCTGGGTGTGTTCCATGCCGGACTGTTCGCATCGTGGGGCTGGTATTGGGCGTACATGTCTATGATAATAGGATAATATGCTATAAGTACTGGTAAGTTGTCTAATTTTCCTCGTGTTTTTATTCAGCTCGTTTTTTCTTGATAGTGGACGATGCTATCATCATTGATTGTATGCAACGTCAACCGAGTCCTGTCTAGTCGTGTCAAGAAATCGCAAGCCAGCACTTCGACTCTGCAGCAGAAATATTTGTCTTCTCTACCTCCACTCCCGGTGCCTGTAGCCCGCGTCGGTATCCAGGTCTGTCTCGTCGGTATGGTGTCTGAGAGGCACAAAACACTCGAGATTGTCTTCGCCAACGTCAGTACGAGTTTCTTTCCTTTCAATTGCTCCCTTGAAGTAACCAAACGCATAGCAAAATGTACGTCATCGAACAGCGAGCCAGAGCATTGGTTGGAAGCGCAAGAAGCTTTATTCTTCGGAGACGCTGTTACAAACCCCCTAGAACTTCGCCCCTACGCTTGTGCCACTCCAGCCGGCATCCCCAATGAAAGTTTCTTGCATCAACACTGGCAACTGCGATCGTCATTGATACGCCCCATCTACCATCTGCTCCACCCCTTCCACGTCCCGCTTCTTTCCTGTTACTGTCCCTTCTGCGGCATCCACTCCAGTAAAGTCTGTTACTCAGGTGCGTCTTTTCTTTAGAACCTAAATTCTCCTACCAAGTTTTAACATCTTTTCGTAGTCCCCACAGAAACCCTGCCACCCATCGCGCCTACACTCGTGATCTCATTGGAAACACATTCCGTACATGGACCGTATTGCGCTTGGCCCAATGATATCACCTGCACCCCAGCACTCTTATAACAAGCGCTCCCTGTCAGAATCAGAGTATCCCACAACACCTGCCTGGCGACTCAGAGACGCCTCGTCTCAAGCGGTACCACAAACCTGTCTCTTAACGCATTGCCAACCCTGTGCACAATGTCAAGTGGCTGGCTTCACCGTCTCTCATCTCCGGCGCGTACCTGAGCTGGCAGATATGGCGGTGCGGGTCGTCGAGGCTGTTGCCAAACGCCGGCAACGCGAAGAGCGTAAGAAAGTGAGGTGGCTGCCGCCGGTAATTCAAACTCTGCGTGCCCACCACCCATGCTTTCGGCAATTGATCTTAGCTTTTGTCACATTGCACTGCTAATAAATTTTGATTCGTTTATAGTCTCTTACATCCCGTTTTTAATACAAGGACATGA